GTTTCATTGCCTATATTTCCAATGAGCCAAGAGTCACTGAGTCAACAAGCGTTTTTGCAATGTAGTCTCCATTAATGTTAAAGACCATAAAACATATACAATTGTGTAGTATTTTATAAGTAATACATAAATATACAAAACAATTATCACTTAATTAAGCTTTGCCTTAAAGTTCATGGAAAATTCAAATTTTGGCATGTACTATTTGGATACAATGTGGAAGAATTCCATTGTATAAACAAGTTTTAATACTTGATAGAACTATGCACTTACAGTCCAGAATATAAGCATTGTAAAAAATGAGAGATATCCATACACCCATAATTGCCCTCAGGCCATTGGTTTGGTCATTCGCCGTAGTCATCTTAAAAATGGATGAATCAATATCTTGAGGGGGGGGGGGGAATCTAGGTTTGTATAATCCTATAACTGCACATGCACAACTCACTTCTTTAAGTATTAAACTGCATGATTTATACCCAATTCGTGAACAGTATAAAACAGATATATACCAGTAGTTATTCTTCATGTACATCAGTTTACCGCAAAAAGACTATTCTACCACAATGAGAAATGTCTCCCTCAACGGGCAAATTAAGCATTTTCTCCCTCAATGTTAGGTGGCGCTAACCACTGCTCAACACAGATCCAATTATCTTCATCTAGGAAAAAAAAAGATGTACAGTTGAATGCAGTTAAATATTGCATCTTGTGAACTAGTTTCACATTGGAGTCTAATTTTGCACATCTTGAAATTTCAATGTTTTGGAAAGTGGTTACACATACCAAGATCAGATGTACAACTTTCACATGTACATGCATATGGATGACATATCCAATATAGTATGTGTATATAAAATTAGCACAATTTCTTGTTCCATACTATAAATATGGTTAGATACACATGTCTAACATGATACAAGTGCAATATTGAGAGGCAATGGCTTTAAATAAAACAGACATTTATTGCAATTATATAGAGACACTATATTACCTTTTTATTCCAGGAATTTTTGCAAACATTCCAACAATAAAATTGTGTGGCATGCACAGCATGACAATTAAAAACAGGTAGGATGAAATAAAATTAGAATCGGAGGTAGCAGAATCTCTTTCAGGCCAAGTCATTTTGGACTGGTAATTGGATTTATACCAGATAATATATTCAGTCTATAATGAGTTATTAGAGTAAATGTTTCTTAAGCTTCCTAACCCTGACCTGTAACACCAGACTTTCCATGTAAAATGAAATGGTCTATTTATAATATTAAAAAAAAACACAAAGCATTACATGGTATACATATTGTAACATCACATTTGGATAAACCATTTAATTGTTGGGGAATATACTACCAAGCCATGGAATCAAAGTTTCCCACTTTACAAAGACAAGGCACCAAAAAAACACAAAGGGTGCATGTATGAATTTATGATTTGAATGTTGGAAAAACAATAAATGATAAAATGGAAAACATGATTCCAGGGCAAATTAGTTTAATGTGCAATAAAATAGGTTGTAATATATAGAATGTTTTTTTGTTTTTGTTCAACCTTAAAGTGCCACAGTCACATGTTTGATACAAATTCTATGCAATATACACCATGTGTATAAAATGCAATTTTTACACAAAATTGAAATGTATGCTTCACGATGACTGTAACCCTTCAAACGCTCTGGTCAGGTGTATATAGTGAAGTTCACACATAATAGCAAAGAAAGCTGTAGTATACATTAGCAAACATAAATATACAATGCAACGTGATTTGGGGAAATGTAAGACTATCACTCAAATTGCCAATTCACAAGGGGATGAGAAACTGTACAGTGCTATATTATTTTCATTTCACATATGGAAATAATACAGCAACAAAAGAAGTGCAAAACAAGTTACAGCGATTGTTGTTCCAGCCATAATCCTGGTGAATTAAGTATTGAGGTAGCTATCAGACATTGCAATTTTGTATTAATACACACTAATTCAGTAAAACACTTTCCTTAATCCCCAGTCAATGAATTGTGTACACCTATCGTCTGTTTTTAAGTTAATGACATTACTTATAGATTTTTACCACTGGTTTGACAATCCTGAACATAATATTAAAGCAACACAAGTTTACACATGCCAAGTTCCTAATGGGTGCCATAAAAAATATAAAATGCATTGTTCAAACAACATTTGAATTACCGGTACACATGCTTTGAAACTGCGGTGCTTTAACAATCTGCAACAAGATTGATAGTGCTGAAATTTTACAATCCAGTGTTACTTCCAACTCTACATCTGCACTAAGTTGAAAAAAAATCCATTGAAACTAGCTTACATCCCATTGACTTGCAAATAATTCATTGTAAATCACGAGTCTCCTCAAAATCATTTTCAAATGAGATACATGTAAAGTGTTCATAGTACATCATTGCCACTGTTTATGTGTAAATACAACTGCTACAAGAGAATAAATCAAGATATCTGTAAAAAGACCAGAACAGCATTTTTCATACATTTGGCACAAAGCAGAATCAAGCATTGATTTACAATTACTCGTACAGTAACAAATCGCATCCAGCAAGTCCTAGCATTAAGTTAGTCAACATGATATGTTGAATATGAAAAATCAAGGTTCCTACAGCCAACAAATATCAAGGTTTCTTGTTAAATACAATCTTGGCCATTCTCTTGAATGTAGCAACGAGCTCTCTATCCCTGTACAAACCATGAAACAGACAAAAATACAATGTAAATGTTTTGATGAGAAGCGAACACCAGCTTAGTTCAATGCATGCACACAAAATGGTAGCATGTAGGCAAGCACATTTTATGGTGCTGCACACAATTTGAACTGATGTGTACGGCATTGCCTGGAGACTGACCTGACACTACATGTCGCATAGGTCAAATCAAACTTTGTACGTTCTCCATGAACTATTACTTTGGGCTCACACCATGGATTAGTTTAATTAGCTTTAGTGATTGTGGGTAATACTACATTGTTTTTCACAGCCCTCATACCAACTATGCAAAGCCACTTTTCAAATAGATGGGGGAAAATAACACAAAATTGTACTTTTAACAATTTCCATCTTGCAATATCTTCAATTTACCTTTCTGCGATTGAGGTTACATTCTAGTTCATGATCAGAGTCATTTGAAATTGTGCTTACCCATTGGTGGCGAAAATTACAATCTGTAGCCAAATCTAAATGCAATTTGCCAATGCTTAAGCCCAGATTACTAATGTACACTTTTCTGCTTGTACTTGTGGTTTGAAGGTGAATGTTCTAAGCACTAAAAACACTTCAACTTGAATTTACTGCAATAAACTTATTGTACAGTTCTATTTGCTGTATTACCAAGCATCTGTCAATGTTAATTACCAATATGAAGAATCAACAATCATTTCATAATTTCCTTTGCAGGTAGTTATGTTTACACAGTCAGTGATGCCATGGAATGCAAGTGGACACCAAATTGATGCTAACTTTCGTTTTTCTGTAATACTACTGTAAAGTAATACCATCACATACAAAGTTGAACAGCATCAAGTGAACTTACTATTAGTGCATCGCACAAAAATAAACTACTTCACTACCAGCAGAAAATAAAACCATAAAGAAAGGTTTCTGACAATTATTTCAGCCCTTGTTGGTTCAGCAAATGATATAAACAGCTAAAAAGAAAAGATATATTGGATGCCTTGTAACTTGCAGCACAACACTTCAGGGCAATGGGTGGTTATTGTGAGAGCTGAGCGCAGGGTTAATTATTGCCAATCTTTCATGCACATAATTATGTTTGCAAGAGACAAAAAAAAAACTTTGCCATACATTGGTAGTATCAAAATGTATAAAATGTACATTTCACAGCAAGAGGTCCATTTTAGTTGCATTTCCAACCCTGAGAAAGGAAAGGTCAACAACCCATCACATTATTATATGAACTTATTTGTTTATTTATATATACCATATGTATATAATATATATGTATGCAGTGTTTAAATCTAAAAGCCAAATATACCAAGATATATTGAGACCATTTTGCAATAAGTGTAAAACAACAAACTATGAAATCGTAACTTGTAAATGTTGAAATATTCGGAAATGTTGGAAATACTAGTATGAACATAACAGAAAAAAGAAAGCTTTACAATGTACCATGCAGCACCAAGATTTGTTATAACACAATTTAATAATATAGTCAGCCCTCCCTTGTTACTTGTAGGTACAGGTACATTTTCAAAGTGACCTAATGTACATGACAAATGGGTACTTTCAATAAAGAAATTTAAATGACCTTAACACAAACAAAATCATGCATCCAACACTATTATCGTTATTATTTATATGAAGAAATGGAATTTTGAAAACATTTCAACTATAATTTATAAAGCTTTCAGTTAAAAAAAAAAGTTCTATATTATAATTTTTGTAAATATGTTTTTTTTTTACTCCAGTTTTAATTCAGTACAAATACTATATAGGAAATGAGAATAAGCATGTGAAGCCTTGGGGCACAACAAGAAAAGTACAAAACTCTCTACACCATACAGACTTATGTAAAATGTAAATGTAGACAGTCGTATAAAGAGTTTGCTCTTCCCAGTTGCACCTTGCAAATCAATGAAAGCATGGCAGCAGCAATATTATTTTAAGAGCTAGCTATCTTGGGTGGAGATAGATATTACAACTTTAATACAGATACTTCTATGTGCTATTTACTTGTGTCAGCATTGTAAATGGTAAAAACACACTAAGAAACTAATGGGATATATGCCAAAGAATTCCTTTTTTTTTCATATAAGAGAAACCGACACATATTGACAATTTGGGTGTTTTTGACACAAGGCAGTGATTACAAAGCAGCTGCTAAATTTGTCTTTCTCAATAACAAAAAAAACTAAGTTTTCTCAAAATGTACAAAACATTGGAGTAGGAAAGACTAGACATAATCCCATTACCGATTCTTGTGTAATATAATGATATTTATATATTATGCATTGCCTACGTCCCTGAGATTCCATATGGTATAGGTTGACGTGAAAACTTAGCTAGAGTTTCTAACGGTAAAGGTACAGGAAGATGATCATCAGATTCTTTGTCTTCTTTTTCTACAAGTTGACCCGGATCTGACCATCTTCGTTTTTTCAGACGTACTAACTTCTTGTCTTCTTTTGCCGACTGTTCATAAACATTTCTATTCTGGTCAACAGGTGTTGTACTCCTTTCCACAGACTGTTCTTTGTTGTTGTTGTGTTGTTGTTGTTGTTGTTTATCTGTTATAGTATAATAGGTTGTATAATGACCTATATTTGTCTCTAGTGATCTTGTATGCATGTCTGTTTGCAAACCAATGTTTTCATGAGGTAGTGCTGGCGGTTCAAGTTTCGGTCTCTTGAATTCTGGTTGCTCTAAACTGTCAGCAGTGTCACTCGCAATATTACCATGTTTCACTTCTTTTTGTTGTAGTCTTCCATTTTTCTCTTTTAATGTCAATGAAATACAAACATCACCTACAGACAGCTGATGGCATGATAGGCCATACCGCTGCAAGGTACGATCGGGTCTAACGGAAGACCAGCCTTGACCAAATACAAAGAATGGATGTTCAACAGTTGATTCCACAGTAACCTATTAAAATGAATGTAAAAGATAATATGTAAATCAGTTCAGTCCCAGTGAAAAAGGAATAAAGGAGGCATGCTTAGAAAATCTTTTAGCAACATCTCTACTAAAATGCAATTATTAAGTTTAAGGACCTGAAATGAAGTCCACCGAGCTCATTGTGCTAATTTAAAATAAAATGAGGTGAGATTATGATGTCTTCTGACAACTCCCAGGATGTAATAGGCACTCCATTTTGTTCTTGGAGTCTATCGTTTAGGGAGGACGGGATCAGATTTCCAAAATACAACATTTTCCCAAATATTTCATCTTGATTGGCTTAATATATTTTGAGATTTTAGTGACATTCCAAAACAAAACATTCTTACAAAAACATTGTGGTAGCCTAGTCAAGTATTGCACATGCACAAGACAAAACAGTTAATTCACTAACATGTAGTTTGGCTCTGGCTATTAAGAACAAATTAAGTACACATCAAATATTAAGTCAATCGAGCTGGTAGTTTTCAAGACGAAGATGAAAATATCAATTTTAACTAAATAGAGAATTAATGATACATTTGTAACGTCACAAAATTCACCAAAAATGGCAAGAATATTCAGTATCAAGCTGTCTCAGCTTAGATACATGTAGCTCTGCCGACATTAGAAAATGAATAAATCTGAGAGAGGGCTACCTGAGGTACATATGTGTAGATTATCAAAGCAATCAGAAATGTAGTTTTCAAGAATAAGTTGAAAAAGTATAAGTTGACACGGACTATGGGCATTGGACAATCACTAAAATGATGAGCTCTGCTCGACAAAGTTGACGGCGAAGCCAAAAATAGAGAATTGAAGATTCTAAAATGAACAAATCTGACAAAAGTCCACCCAAGGTACCTACATATCAACTATCAATTGAGCTGGTAGTTTTCAAGAAGTTGGTAGACTACGGACAATAACCTATATGATCAGCTTCAGCTCTGTTATTTTCAATGACAGCGAAACTAAAAAATTCATGACAATAACCCACAAGCTAAAAATGCTTATGGCTGTGTTTATTCACATAATGAATATAGTTTTAATTTTTTGCAGTAAATACAAATAAAATCAAGACAAGCAGACATCAGAGTAATGGCCTGTTTGTTATTCAACAATACCTGCTCAGAAACATACACAAGTAACCTACACCACAGCAAGATTGAATGAGACAGTTGTTATTTACAGAGAACCAGATCTAATATGAAAATATGACATACTTGTATTCTGAGTTCGCCCACAGAGAATCCAAGAAGAGCCAGACCTGCTTCATGTTCTTCATCAATTCTAACAACAGTACTAGAGTCTATTTTCAAGTCCTCGCTCAAAGCAGCACTTTGAACAAAGTCCTCAGTTCTCAAATCTTCAACCTTTTTGAGTTCGCTGTTTGCTAGTTGGATGATGGATCCTTTCATGAAATGAGGTGGGAAATGTGGATGGGGTGGTTGACTTGAGTAGGCAGGAGGTGATAACTGATACTGAGAATCGGCATTCACTGCTTTTGTTGACTTGTTTGCAGAGCTAGGTGTACGAGGAGTATGAGGGGGTGTCTGAGGAGGTGGCATAGCACAAGACCATCCTGGTGTAGATGAAGCCCCTTTTGCATTACCATGCACAGTATGTGACAATGGTGACTGACTGTCAGCCAATCTATGATGATCCTGGTTAATTAACTCATACTTATTGGATTGGATACTCATTGGATTAATATTAATATTAGGTGGTCTGTTGTGTCTTAGGCTTCTCTCTTCCATAGGGACAGGAGAGCTTAGTTTGGCAGGAGAAGCAGTCTCAATGTCACTTACTCTTGAAGTAGCGAGACCAGCCCTGACCATTGCAATATTGACTGGGGAGTGTCTTGGAGATCTGTTCATAACAGCATAAACACTTCCATCTGGTTTGTCTTGAACTGATAGTTGTTGAGCACATTCAACAATATCTTGGCTGTCAATTCTATCTTTGTTTTCACTTTTCATCATAGGTCCAGGTGGAGGGCTATGAACATGAGGAGCAATGTTCACAGGATTCATCACAATACGTCCAGGTGCCAAAGAGTGAACTGTTTGGTACACTGAAGCACTGATTGCAGAATTTTTCTCTGTGCTTTCCGCTGAATGTGCTGATCCCATAGACTGTATATACTGACTGTGCAAGGAAGATGCTAAATGGGCTGGTATAAAAGTACATGGTCGATGATGCCCTTGCGCCTGTACATGACTTCCCATACTGGCTAACATAGCAGAGTATGACTCAATCTGGGGATAGTGTCCACTAGTCAACTGAGCATGTGTGAAACCAGGAGGTGGGTATGGCGTTGTACCAAATGGAGGTGGTCCAATATATGGTGCAAATGATGGCAAAGTTGTAGAATGCAAAGTAACAGGAGGTATGCGAGATGAATATTGCAATGGAGGAAAAGGAACTTGTCCAAGTGACGACGTAGAATAAACAGTAGAAAACTGACCAGGAGTATAAAGTCTCTGAGCAGCGTTATATTCTGGTAATGGTGGGCGGAAAATACTCCCTGAAGGTATACTCGTAGTTCCAGTAGGCATGCCAACAAGAGTTCTTTCTGATTGGCTGACAGCAACATCAGCTAACCAGTTTAAGTTTTCACTTGTAGTATTTATTGGCAATGTTTTATAGTTGTCCGTCATTTTTTGACTAGTGGCATTATTGCCACATGCAGCTTCATATTCCTCTCGCCTGTCGTCAATGACAGGAGTATTTCGTGAGTTACTTTGATTTTCACTTTGTTGAGAATAATCCCTTATCCTGTCTGGATTACTGGGCGAGGTCACTGGCTGGGAAATAACAGGTGACTGCCGATATTGAGACACTTCATCACTGTGTTTCCATGGTGTTCCAGCCTTGTCTGTTTGCCTCAGAGATTCATCAGATGGTGGTGTGGATGATAACATAGACTCTGAACACAGCAGTGATTGGCCTTCTGACACTGTAATACGATAAAGACGATGAAAAGGCATTAGGGCAAATGGCAATACAAGAAAACAGTCTATAAATAATCCATGTTAGAACTATATTACCATCACTATAGATAACAAATGGATTTAATTATCATTTTATACCTGGAAATGAAACTGATATTTAGTAATGGAAATTATGAATGACTGAATCAATATAAAAGATCTTTTTATGTGCATTATATCATTGAATATTTGTTCATGCCATATTTATCCATCAGTTATCATAGATGCATGTAATCATGGATCAATAAAATTAATTATCCAACTGTACATTTTAATTTTATGGCTGCCATGATTTTGAATCTATTTTCACTAACAATCTAATGCTGAAACGCAGATTGATGCCCAACAATTATCAGTCCGCATTTAACAAATTTGAATCCATTTAAAGCAATTGTCAGAATATCAACAACAAACACATTGAAAGTTGTTAATTAATATGCAAATAATATATTCTGATTAACCTAAATATAGTGTTAGACATCCAACTACAAAAACATTAGGTACACCAAGTGTCACTCATCGGATATCAACAAAATAGTAGTAGGCCGACAATGGTAAATATGCAAATTACATAATTAATATGCAAAGATTTGGACTAATCTGGCATGGAGTTTGTAGTAGTGGAACAAAACTTGATGCAAAAACATCCATCCAGAAAAAGACATTTGCCTCCTGTATGTGCTTTGCACCATATACATGAAATTTTTGGTTTATGTGTGCCTCTACTGGAGCAAATACGCAATCACACAAATACAAGCATCACACAGTTGCATAATAACCTTTACTATTACTTGTCAAATTTTAAATACACACTGTCCACTAGTTAGCCTGATGATGACAAAAGAAGCCGTAAAATCACTTGAAACACGTCTTTACTGATACAAATATATAATATAAACTCATTCAATACAAATAAGATCCTAAAGTAACTGTTATTAACTTGTCTGCTGTCATCAGTTATAGGAAAAGACTTGAGGCACCCCAGTTACATGTACAAAATTGATCAGCAGGCCAGTCTTTGCCATAACACTTGTGTAACTGACACCAGACATTAAATTGCTTTCTAACACTAGTGATGTTCATCATGACATATTTATATAAACACCTTTAACCTATACTGGTCCATAGTATTTAATTATAGTTCTGAATGTTTCATTAATAATGGATTTTCAGTTATGAATACATTAAAATGTACAAACTAATATACAAGAACAACTGTAAGGGCAGCCACAAGCATCCTGCACTGGACAGGGTGCCTCACAAAAGGTCATCTACCTTTTATTCATCTTTCCAAATCTACTTAACTATCTGTCTGGGTAGACCAGCACAATGGTATATTTGAATACACAGAGCAATACACTAGTTGATGTGGCGATTATACAGGGTCAGAATGAACTAACTTTCAACTGGTGAATTTTCCCAGATTGCCTAACATAAATGCCTCAAACGCTACAAGCAAACTGTCATAATAATATCACAGAATGATTTTTCCCGACTAACATCTCCCCTTATGATAACCAGCCCCCCCCCCTCCATGTTAATAATAAAAATCTTACTTTCTGTTCCCATGAAAGAATATTGCTAGTCACTGCAAAGAATTTAACCTTGATAAGTTCATATAAACACAGCAAGAAAATTTACAGCCCGACATAGTTTAAAACCTATAGATATATGTGCAACTGAATATGTATTCTGAGATATAATTAAAACATATATAATAACAAATACACTTGTGCAAGGTTTCCAGTGTTGTAAACATAACCCAGCAAAATGCCAGTTATTGAAGTACAAAAAGTTCATGAATATTCAATAACGATAATTATAAATTCAGTCATCTTTCCCCAGCTCGAAACAAGATTGGTAGTGAAAGTTGCTCTTGTCTTTTCTTGTACGCATGTATACAGCAGATTCTGTTGTAAATACACCCATCAGTTCAATTGCCATGCGGATGATAGGTGAACCATTATTTGGTTCTATATCTGGGCATCTCAACTTTTTTGGCTTGAGTCAGCAATTAAACCAGAAAAAATCTGACCATAATTTCAGGGATTGAGTTAACCGCATATTTTGCTTCCTGTAGCCCCAATATTACATTGTCCGAATCGCACGGTTTCGCTAAAACCGGCCATTCATAACCGGCCCCCGAAGCCGTGCGTGATAGTGTTAGAAAAAGCGGTATTTCACTGCAGTTTGATTGGACGCGCCAAGAAGCTGGTGCTACCAATCAGATCCGGGGTCATCATAGATTAAAACAATGGCAGTGTGTAGGCTTTGTGGTGATTCACCCTGAGTCCAGAACAGAAGGTCTATGTTCATTGACACGTTTCCAAAATGTTTTATTCCAACTTTGAAAATTGTTTGTGGACAAGTGAATGAAGACTATGGAATGATTAAATATTTGTGCAAACCATGTTTTAGCAAACTGACAAAACAGTCGAAACAAATCAGTAACATATCGACTTTTCTGATCTGTCTTCGTTGCTAGCGCCATGATTTTACCAAGTAATATGTAGTTTCTAAAGTGAGTTCTGATTGGGTAATGCAAGTGAATCTTATAATAGTTTGAGGGCGTGCGACATACAATAAATCGCGGTGAAATCTGCCAAGGGTTAATGTTGTGGCTTCGGCCGAATAAATGGTCCTTGGCTGATGAAGATACCAATATTACAGAGATTTCCAATTTACTAAAGGGTCCCATTTCTAACAAGGATACACAAAATAGTCAATACGACTTCAATTTTTTAATTGTGACTTGTGCAATCCCTGAATTTTGTGAACATAAAACAATGATGCATCCAAATTATTTCATTTGCGACAACCATACCGCACAATAAATCAGTAGACCAACTAAACCTTTACCTATACAAACAATATAAGTTCACAAATCTCACCATGCTTGAATAACAGTAAACTGAGAATTTTACCCATCTTTTACATACTGCATTGTTAATTTTACCATTCCACCATTCTGTTTCAATTTATTGTTTGTTTGAATTCAATTTTGCTGATCTTTCACTAAAAACACTGAAATAACTTTCACTATTTGCACAGTTTCATTTTCATGCCATTTTTTATCTTTGCTTGAGACATACAAAAATGTACCTGTCAACCAACATGTCTGCTGCCAATATGAAGGTTTGGAAGTTTGCCATAGTCACCTGCAGCGACCACAAATCCACTAATTCTGCTATAACATACACTAGATGACAATTACAGTAAAAGTTGAGATATTCATATGGTACAAGTTTTTGTACTTCATAATGGCATCAATTCCATACAAATAGAATGTTGCAGGTCACTACAGTAAGTCTGGACCCAATGTTGACAGCTTAAATTTAATATACATTCAGAAATGTGCAAAAAAAGAAAGAAGGTAAAAACAAAATGGCTTTCAGTTGACCATATTAGATTTGATTGTAACACAAATAAGTTTTTATTAATGAGCTTAATATAATCGTCTATGGACCAAGTTTGGAACTAGTTGAACAGCATCGACTCTCGTCCACTTGCATCTTCAGAACACAAGTATCATGTCAGAATAAACTGATAAGCAAGTTATTAGCAAAAATAAGTATTTTTGCCATACAAAATGGCCACCAGTAGACCAAAAATACAAAAATTGAGAATCTGTCTTTGTATGCCAACAGCAGAACTTGGAGATAATGCTTTACACATAAAATGTAGGTTTTTAGGCAATTTTGGGATCAAATACGGCAGCTTATGTATACCATCAACTATGTACTAAGTTTGAAAAAAATCAGCTCATGAACTTCTGTGATAATGTGACAGACATATCCACAAGTGCCCGGACTTGCAAAAGTTATGGTAATTAACAATGTATTGCAAAACCCATCTGCAGTAACAAAATAATTTAGCCTTGGTCAATGACTATTTAAAATGATTCCCAGAACCTATGTACAGAGTTATAAAAATGGCCACATTTCCATGCCAGGTTTCACTCTGTTAACTCTTATTCAAAAGATAGAGCAAATAGAAATGCAAGAAACAATTTGGTAAACGTGCAATAAATAATGTTTTGACAAAAATTAAAAAAAGAAGCTTATAAATTCATTAATAAATTGAGTTGTTTAGTTGAGGGGTACATTTGAGGATGTCTCAAGAAATATCATGTATCCTTGATATGATTTATCCAGGACATGTCATAATGAAGACTGTATTGTATGACCTATAGCTGGTTGGCTGCACCTACAGGGCATTCAATATCTGAACACTATATATAGTAGCAAATGGTTAAGCTGAGGGATGACTCATTCTCATTTGCAGTTGAATGATATTAAGTATGCACACCTTAAAAACAATCATTACTAGTCTCGCTCTTCTGCAAAGTGATTAATTACACACAAGTTGTCATTGTTTTTATTGATTCTTTGAAATGTACAATTTAAAGTACAATTTACGGGATCGATACTCCATTCAATAATTTGAAACAGCTCGAGGCACTTAATTCAACAAAACGTGAAATGCACCATGGAATCTCCTTTTTTTTCATGCTAGTCACTGGGAATTACTCAATTTACTTTGAACAAATTAACATATTCAATGCTCCATTGTGGGATGATGTAAATAATACATCAGTTGTGTGTTCAAATGCAAAACATGACCCATAAGAGCAGTAGGATATGCAAGCACCTGGTGAAATTACAATCTAGTAGATTAAGTTAATGGTTTAAAAGGAAGACGATAACATGTAAACTCATAGATGCTACTAACATAGGAAGTAAAGCTAGGAAATAACACCAATTGTTACAAATGTACTGCAGTTTACTTTGTTTCAACCTTGAAAATATACTTAGAATATTCCACTGCCAAAACTCTAGTGCCGTCATTGGACGCATTTGAAATACATGTTTATTTTTTGATGTTGATGTCAAATAAGTTTAAATAAGGTCGCCATGTCTCAACCAACAGTGGTGGATTACAGTGTACATTTTTTATTTTGAAAAGC